ATTGTCCTGTGCTGCATTCATAGTCCATGGAGAGAGAGAGAGAGAGCGGCACTGGGGGATTTCAGAACAGAAACAGGCTGAATTCCTTTCTCAGAGTATGGGGATTTTTCCATGGCTTAATCCTCAGGTTAATCTCCATCTAGCCAAGAGAGAAGCGGGGTGAAGTTTCCTGTTGTTCCTAGACGGTGCTTCCAGCTGAGCAGTCTGTTTCTCTTGTGCTAGCTCCAGTTGGTGTGACTCCTCAGTGTGCCATTAAAGTTGAAGTCAGAAATCCCACAAGACTAGGCCTGATGGAGAAAAGAGAAAGAGGGGGTGAAAAGGGCTTCTGGAAGACTGTGTGTGGTCACTGGGAAGATGCAAACACATCCTTCAGCTCCAACACAAAATGACACATTGAGATGCCTGTTAGGCTCTGTAAATATACTTGAAATACCAACTCAGATACCTTCAAATTATTTCATCCATTAACCCCATTTCACATTCTCTGAATAGGCTTGTACTGCAGAAGCACTCTAAAATATAAAATAATGTATGATGCTGAAATAACATTTCAGAGTAGACTAGTTTTATTTTCATAAAAATTAAGGTTTTTTCCTAACATTTTTTTTCATTGCAAATTTCTAATTGATGAATCAAGAAGTTGCTATGTCATCACACTTTTTGTTTTATTTTAATTACTATAGATTACACAGGGTGTTCTCATACCCTTCTGTAAGACTACAGTGTTTTCTTTTCATTCATATTGCTACTTATTCTAATCCATTATTTTTATTCTATAATCCAGTATTTTGTTAAACTGTAAGGGGTAGAGGTAGCTGGTCTTGCTTAAGAGCGAGTTGGTGGCTTTAAGTAATTTCTGGATTTAAGTGTTAATTGCTGAAATGGAAGTGGGAAGAATATGTGATCATGCAAAAGAATTTCAAGTGGTCATGTGAGTAGCTGAAGGTGACAATTTTAGCTGCTTTACATAATTTCTTCCCGGAACGTGGATTTGGTTTGTAATGGTTGTTGCTAAAGGAAATGTTTTCTGTAGCTAAAACCACATGAAATAGTCCATGTAACAAGTAAATCCTAGCCATTTTCACAATTTTGCTGCTGCTTTTCTGAGAAGTATTGCTCTGTGGGAGTGGTGGTGGGGGGGAGGGAGTGGTCTTACTGTTTTATTTTTGTCAGCTTTTATCCCTTTTATCATCTTTCTAAGTCACTTGTCCATGACTTGACTTCTAGGCATCAGTGAATTCCTTGGGTCTGATTTTTCTCTCTGACCCTAGAGACTGACTTGGTTCCTCTTTAGGCAGAGGGCAAAATGTTGCTTTTCTTCTGTATTCTTTCAAACACATCTTGTTCTTCCTTTCTGTGAGGTTTGGATACCTGTGCTGTCAGCACTTGCTCATGGGTGTGTTGGCCCTTACATCATCACACTAAAACAGATGTGTCTTCCCTGTAAGATGAAGTATTTCCTTCTTTTTTGGGTATTCAGAATTGCCCAGGATGATGGGGTTTGCATTGCTGGTCTAGTTCAGAATAGCAAAACATCAGTCTGCTTGAGTAGAGGGAAGGGATTTATATATATAGAGGGACACAGGGAAGAAAATAAGTATTAGGGCTGTTTTATCTTATACATGGTTTTAATAATTCCTCTAATTCATCTTGTTCTGAAATTCCACAGTTTTATTGTAAAGCATATCAGCTGAGAGTCAACATATTGTAGAGCTTCTATCCTACACCCTAAAACCCATTTGTAGAAACTGAATAGTTAGGCTAACTGTAAATGAGTTCGTGTAATAAATGTTACAGGGGATGTTCAGCAGTGTTTTCTTTGTTTGCTTCAGAATAGATAAGCAGCATTTGATGTAAAACAATAATAATATTGGCTGATGCACAAGAACTTGTTTTTATGTGATTTGGGATCATATTTCATAGATGGAGCAATTTTTAAGCATCATCTGAATCAAAGTAATAAAGAGTTTTGTGCTGCTTTCTTTCAGGCTGTCAGAGAAAAGGTCACTTTAATTTTCAAGTGTGTAGTGTTTTATATTCTTCCATAATGATATCTTTTTCCCCACTTTTTTCATTAAGAAATTATGTTTCACATGTGGAACTAATTGTACATATTTTTGTTCATCACTGCTTTGAGAAGTCTTTAAGAGCTTGATTTTTGTCATTTTGGACTTTGAGTGAAATCTCATGCTTTTCTCCCCTTTTAAAACTGCTTGTTAAACAATATAATCAGCAGTGATATAAAAATTCACTATGCAATGTCATATTTTGGGCAGTTACACTGGATTGAATTGTAATTAATTGCTGCTGCTGAATACACCATGGTCCTTATTCTCTTTTTGTATCCAGGCTTTTCTTTGTGTGTAATAATTCCATCCAGGAAGAAATCTAATTACTAAGATAATTAACACCTTATCAGCAAATGGAGTTCAGACATTTGTAGAGTTTATGAATTTTTAAAATATGTAATTTCCTTTTAACTAAATGACAACTGGTGTTATGGAGAAAAAGAGCATATTTTATTGTATCTAGCTTGATTGGACCTTATAATTCATGTTGCTATAGAAACAACCAGGCCTTTATAAAGGATGGTATTACTACTACCATTGGTAATAAATGCTTTGACTGTTGCCAATAGTGTCATTAAAATGGATAAAATAACTTCATTATGATGGTTTTTTCAAATGTAGTGAATGTTCTGAGAAATGGCAGCTGATGTTAGGTGGCATTGGTTTATAAAGTAATGTATAAAAAGAAAGCACTTTCTTCCATGAGCTTACTACTGCTACACAAGATATTTGTGGTATGAACAAAATCATGTTGCGAGGTGTGGTGCTGCTCTCTTCACTCAGTCCTTAAAGATAAGGAATTCTATTGTTACTTGATATCAAGCAGCAGTTCATGTCTTGATGTTTGTCAGTCTTGGGAAAGCAGCGGTGACTGAGGGTGCTGAGCCATCAGCTCTGGGGATTTCTGCTCTTCTGCACAACATCCAGACTGTGCTTCCCACTTAGGGTTGTTGGATCTGGTGCTTGAAAATGTTCAGTTTTATAGCGGTTTTAATTTGTTGTTCAAATGCCATCTTTTAACTCAGCTCAGATGATGGAGTCTGAATTTGTGAATTCAAAAAGGAATTGATAGAATTTGGTTTCTTTGCTGGGGATTTTTCATAAGGAAAAGGTGAAAGAAGATTCTAATAATAGATGATAAATTCCTGTGCTGCTACCTATATGTCCAGACACATGCTAAAAGGAGGGCAAGGCATTAATATAAGCTCATTGCCTACACTTGCAGGAAAAAAAAATAAGTTTGGGGGGAAAAAAATCACAAAACATATTTACTACCATGTACAATTTGTCTGAAGGCTGGTCTGGTAGATATAAGCTATGGTCTAATATTGCACCTAATAAAATTAATAAGAACAATATTCTCTGCTTCCCTTTTTTGGCATCTTTTGCCAACAGGTTTTCCTTTTTCAGTACAACTCATTGTTTCAGGAAGCTTTTCTTTCAGGAATTTTTTCTTTCAGTTATTCAGAATCAAGTTTCTTCACTCACTATAGTCACAGCATTTTTTTCTCCTATGGTGATGTAGTTCCTAATAAGAAATTATAGTTTTCTTTGGCTGTTTGAATGTTTTATAAATGTAATTTGGATTGGACTGACATTCACAGTTCTGCGTTGCCTTAACCGGAGGAGGGGAATGGAAACCTTCCATCCATTTCTTTAGGTTAGAGACAGTCTTGGATATCCCTTCTTAACCTCAAGTGTGAACTTTGCTTGTGACAGTTGTCTTTATGCCATTCACCCCTAAAACAATGTCTTTCAGCTGTTCTGTTCCCTTGCCTGTGGCCTATATACGAGCTGTAGTATTATTTAGATTGGAAGGGACCTCTGGAAGACATCTCATCTACTCCCCCTCCTTGAAACAGGGCCAGTTCCAAGTTAGATACCACCAATATTTGTATAGAATTCTTCCTTTACTCCAATATTTTCTGCAGTTTATCATTGTTACTGGTGATGTGGGGTGAACTCTGCATTGTGGAAGCAGTTTCATCTGTGTCAAGAGGGAGCACTGAGCACTATGTGTTTCTGCCTCTCTCCAGAGGATGCTTATCATTATTCCCACTGTACACAAAGCTCAGTCTGGGTGCAGGCCTTGATGGCTGCTCCAGTGTCTACTGGGGAAAGTGTTCATGGCATGTTCCCACCATGTCCAGGATGGTGGTAGTGGCACAATTTCAACTGGAGCCCCCTAACTTCACCCTCTCCTGTGCATCCTTCTGTGCCTGTGGGCTGTCTCTGTCAGCTGTGCTGCCTTAACCTGGTGTGTGTGAGGGATCTGCATATTCAGTCCAAGGGGAATGGTTAGGAAATGTTGCCCTTCCTTAAATAACAAGAGAACTGAGTGCCTGTGCATGTGAACTTAAGTATTTTGTTTTCCTTTTAAAGCAAGGCATAGGCTGATGTTTTAGAATACTGAGTTAATTTTTAAGTTATGACTAAAGATGTATTTTTGGCTCCTGAGCCAATTTTGTTAAATTTGCTAGGTGATATGGCATGCCAGCCCCTCTTTCAGATACCCTGTTCTACTTTGATAGCAGCCTTATAAAACATTAAATAGTTGACATTTTCTAGTGACTGAGTCTCAAAAGGTTTGCATTTTATGGATTAAGCAATCAGAATTCAAGGAGTAACAAGATGTGCTGATTACCTCTAATTTTGATTGAAGGAAGAGTTGATCCAGATGTTTTCGCTCTTCTGTCACAAACCTAATCCAGTATTTGCTGCAGTATCTTCTATTACTGTGCTCTCAGCTGTGCACCAGATGCATTTCTCATTACCAAATAATGGGGTTAAAATCTTTTTTTCACCCAAGATCCTTGTCGGTCTCAATTTCTGAAGATAAAGTTGAGGGTTATATGTCTATGTACACTAGCTTTTAAGGAGCAAGACTTCTACTTGTCCTCAGTTTAGTGTTTCTTTCTACTTCCTTTACAGAGTGCCTGGAATAACAATTGCTACAGACATCATCTGTGGATTTCCAGGAGAGACAGATGAAGATTTTCAAGAAACTATGAAACTTGTAGAACTGTACAGGTTTCCAAGCTTGTTTATTAATCAATTCTACCCACGTCCAGGAACCCCAGCTGCAAAAATGCCTCAAGTTCCAGCTGCAGTGGTAAGGTGCATTTTCAGATGGCTTTAATACATAAAGCATGTACGTAAAAATGTACATTTTCTGCAGAACTGTGCCACATTCAAGTGAAGGATTTTTTCAGCCTGGTAAGGGAAATGATGCTAGGTTAGACCACTGAATGTGTTTTCATATATAAATGACTGTTCAGATTGTGAGGAAGGATAATACTGTGGTTACACTGAAGATCTTGTCTGCTTTCTATCAAGTTTGGGGTGAATGACTACCAAGAGTAGTAGCTGATTGTTTACACATAGTAATATTTTCCATTTTAAGACTTCTGTGACTCCAGCATTCTCAAGCTTATCATGAATAATTATACAAAGAATTAATAACAGTGATAGTCTCTGATTTAGTTGTCAAATATTAAATTCACAGTCCACTTTCTTGAGACTGTCCTTATGCACTGCTCCTTTACTTCCTTCAGCCTGCAGGTTAAAGGCCATTAGTTAAATTCCTTCCTTCCTTCCTTCCTTCCTTCCTTCCTTCCTTCCTTCCTTCCTTCCTTCCTTCCTCCCTCCCTCCCTCCCTCCCTCCCTCCCTCTGAAGAGTCTCATCTTAAGTTCCAAACTGTTTTTATAAAGAAGGTACATGGCTATTGATTGTATTTTGCTAGATATAAATAGCTATTTATAAGCAATAATGATAGCAATCATATCAGAAGGTATGGTTTGATTTATTTCAAAAAAATTGAATTTGTTATTTTTGTAATCTGAATCTCAAAACCGGAAAGTATACAAGATTGATGCCTGTAGTAATTCAACACATTACTGTATCATTTTTGTGGGCATAAATAACATTTATATTTCCTTTCAATGTAAGAATGAAAGTCAGCCAGCAATGTAAATCAATTTAAATGAAAAACCTATTTCTTTCAATTTATGCGTCCTGGTACACCAACACAAAGTCAAAGCAATATATTGGAACTTGTATTCCTTTGCTTATGTGTCTGAAAGCTAAACAAAGTATCTCTGTTTACTCTCAGTATGTACCATGAATTCCACAGGATGTGTCAGCTGCTGGAGACATAAAATAAGATTATATCTGGCTTCTTCAGTTTGCTGTTTAACATAGTGAGCTTGAGCAATTTATTCATTTATTATAGACTATTTCATAAAGGGAAATTCTAAGTTTTCAAATGTAAATGCCTGCTGTTGAAGTTGTCTCCTTAGTGTAACCAACTCACATGGTTGCATTATTTGTCTTAGTCTTGAAGGCTTTTTAGATATTTTGATACATGAAAAAAGGTTCAGAAATGTGATTTTTGGAGGGTAGGAAGTTTAAAAATCAAAACATTGGTTTGTGTTTCAGGTTTGTATTCCTATGCACAAGTTCTTAAGCACGCCATTTTCACAGGAGATGCAGAGAGTTTAAGTTAATTTACTCACTTCTGTTTAACTGGGTACTTATGGGAAGACAATCTGTGAAGAGATAAATTATTAAAAGAACATTAGCTGTTCTGTAGTTAGAAGTATTACTTGGAAAATGGTAATTGTCAATTTAACCCAGTTTTACATTCTTTCTTCTTATTTGTAGCACTAGTACTTATTGCTTTCAGTGAAATAGAACCTTCAAAGAAGATGGGGCCTCTAATCCAGGGCTGATGAAAATCTGTAATTAATAGATTTTGTTTCTCTTTTTTCTTTTTTTTCTCCTTGTAGTCCTTCAAAAATCCTGTGTTATGAGATCCTTTGTTCTTTTATCTCTTAGTAGAAATGGAGAGCAACTAGTCAAACAGAGCAGGAAGAGCTTGTGCTAATCTCCTATGTTTTATATTCACATTACTTCTAGACAGCAGCTGATGGTCTTTCCTGCATTACCAGAAATGGACAGGCATTTTATTTGTTATTTCTTGTTCAGAGTAATTTATGTTTCTCTGCTAGGAAAAGGAAAGTAGCACACAACCATCCACGTTATGCACTCTGACCCTTTCATCTTTTAATGAAATATTATCCACATTAATGAATGCATTTTATTGCATTTGCATGGGGTAAGAAATAGCACATGCACTGGACACAGCTGGTCTGTGCAAGAGCCTCAGTGTGCACTGGATCACCAGGCTGCACTTGGGGGCTTGGGGCTTCCACGAGTGTTCATGACAGTATCCACTGCAGTGGATCTGTTGGTAGCATTTCTTTATGGGAAAAGAATTTTGTCTGTACAGATGTTTTTTAAACATCTGTTTAAAAACAGATGTTGAATCAGTGAGCAAGTTATTTGACAACTTATTCTTCTTTTCTTCTTTTTTATTTTTTTCTGAAGGCTGACTGTATTTGCTGGGTTATTTCAGTTTTTATATACTTCTGCAGTGGACAAATCCATTGCTAGTTGCAAACTGCTCCACTTTAGTGAATTCCTCTTCAGCAACTCTGACTCAAGATGGCTTTGGTGATTCTGCCAAAGTATCACAGCTGCAATAATAACATACTTGTGTCAGTTTCTTTTAGATTAGCTTTTTTTGGAAGACTTTACCACTTCTAGAGACAATCTGTAGAGTATGAAGTATAGTAATATTTAGTACTTCTATATTTTTAGTGGATGGTTTTGATGATGATCTTAAATATAATTGCCTTTTGGGAGAAAATCCTCATTTAAGATTATCTGAATAGAAAAAACAATCAGTAGGTCAACATGGAATCATCCCTTCACATAGATAATTTATCACTGAAAGCCTTACAGGCACCAATATTTTGCTAGAAGGGCAGATGACACTAATCCAGATGGACATTTCTGCCACCATAAATTCAGAAAAGACAGCAAAGGCTGCAGGCTTTTCTTATTTCTCCTGGAGAAAAAATGTCCATGGAGAATCAGACATCTGTCTGAATGGTCTCATCATTTAATAACCATCAATTAGATTATGCTTACAACAAACACTCTTTCCAGTTTAGAGAAAAGTCAAAACAGACCTAGGCATGATTTTTTTTTTAAGAAGCAATTATGGTAATGCTGAGTCATGTGCATGGTAAATGAGCCAAGATGTTGTCCAGAACTTTAACGCTACCCAATTGTTTTTTCTTTCCTTTGCCCCCATTTTTTCCATGCACTATTTCAGATATGAGTCTGGATGCTCCTTATGTCCAGTGGGTTGAAAATTCTCACTCTGAAATGTGTTAATGATAAAATGCTATTTTTGCTGCTATTATTGTTATTATGTATCTGAATTTCTCAATTTCCTTGCTGTGTTTGCTTGTAAAAGTGATAATGCTGATAACTGCATAACTCAAATTACAGATTCTAGTTAAACTAGAACATGACTCAGATGTGTCTGGTAGGGAACTCATATTTAGCTGCATTGCAAAGGATCAGAATAATTCTAAGTGTGAAAGTTACTTTTTTTCTCTAAAATGAAGAGCATGTAATACCTTACATTTTTGATAACTTCTCTGATCTTTATTTTTTCAAGTTATTACTCATGTGGGGACTTTTCTCTGTCCTTGTGATTTGGTCCATCACAATTTCTGAAACATTAAGGGAGATTATCATCTCAGGATCAGCTTGACTTCTGTCACTTGGAAAATACATTAGAAAATAGCCATTTTGAAAATAAGTATCTTAGCAAGGTAGAATTACCTGAGAATAGGAGATAGTAGCTGTTTTGAGAGCAGTACTGTGACTGCAGCTTCATGATTACACTGCTATCAACTGCAGTGTGGATTCTAATTTTTCTGTACATATTTTTAATAGTGTAAGAAATTCAGTTTCAATTATATATTCACTTTCTCTTTCCTTTTCTCTTTCTTTATTTCACCAGATAATGACATTGCTTCAAGCTAGAAAATTGTGTCAGTCAACTATTGAACGTTTCCTTTAATTCCTCTGAAGTGTCTTATTAATTTTTTCTCTCTGTATTAGTTGTATTAAGCACTATGCTTACTATACTGAGGTGAATAACAAATTCACTTCCTAACTGTCCTGGTTTTGGCTGGAATAGAGTTAATTTTCTTCCTAGTAGCTGGTATGGTGCTGTGTTTTGGATTTAATATGAGAATCATGTTGATACCACTACATGATATTTCTGGTTGTTGTTAAATAGTGTTTACAGCAAGTCAAGGACTTCTCAGCTCCTCATGCCCTGGCAGCAAGAAGGCTGGAGGGGCACAAGGAGCTGGGAGGCTGCACAGCTGGGGCAGTTGCCCCAAGCTGGCCAAAAGAGTATTCCATACCATGTGGTGTCATGCTGAGTATACAGAGCTGGCCAGAGGCAGCTGCTGCAGGTGCTCAGTCACCCTGAAGAGTTAGAAAACTAACACACTGTCAGTATACTCACCATTATTAGGAGAAATTAATATCAGTGATCAGGTCTTGTATACCTCTCCATTTAATCAAACCATTACTTAGATCTGTTCTTGTACACCTAATGCACTAAGAGATTTTTTCCATAAAGATAGCATAATACAATATACACCTCACTGCTGTCTGCCAGACAAGTTGTATTTGATCATCTCTGTGGGAGCAGAAATTTTGTGGCCTTTATTCTATAATGGTTTCTTATGTTTCTTAGGCTCCTTTACTTTTACTTCCCTCTAGGACATCTCCAAGAAGTTTCGTGGCACCCTTTCATAACTGGGTGGCTGCAGATCCACCATATCTCTCTTCGATTAGAATTCTGCAAGGCCCTAGAAAGAGGCATTCTTGAGTGCCAGTATGATAGAGTGTGATGTTTGCCTCCTTTGCTGGATGGATGGATATAGGTTTGTAGTTCTGAATCTCTGCATACAAGCAGCTGAATCTTCTGTGGAAGCTCAGGTGCTCTTACCTATTCAAAAGGCATGATTTTCCAAATGTTGCCAAACTGTCCCAGCCTCACTGAAAAATAACCACTCACTCCTGTGTCAGGCAATATTAGCTGTCCTCTGCTTCAGCATTTTTTAACTTCAGATGTCTGGGTAGCAAATGGAATAGCATTGCTTGTGCAAGGGGCACCTTTAGCTGTGTTCAGAGCTCCAAAGGAAAGGAGCACAAGTGGACATTGTAGATGTCCC